TTCTTGTTCTTGTTCCTGTTCTTCTTGTTCTTGTTCTTGTTCTTGTTCTTGTTCTTGTTCTTGTTCTTGTTCTTGTTCTTGTTCTTGTTCTTGTTCTTGTTCTTGTTCTTGTTCTTGTTCTTGTTCTTGTTGTTCGTGTTCGTGTTCATGTTCGTTTTCGTGTTCGTGTTCCTCTCACTCCTGCTTAAACTAGTTCCTTTCCGGCTCTGATATGGTTCCCTGCCTGGTGCTCTTCCCAGGTCCCCTCCTGGAAAGTCCTTTTTCATACAGGGTCCCCCTCCTCAGTTGTCACCTCAGAGATACTTTCTCTTGTTGTCCCCCCCCCCCCACACACACACATGAGAACACCAACAGGAAGGATGCCCATCATGGCCTGATGTAGAGCCCCAGATTTGAAATGTGTTTGTCCCTTAAATTATGACCAGACTTGCAACATGCCTAGCAACTCACAGCTTTTTTTCAAGCCTCTGGGAACTTCTCAATGCATCTTACAAATGTCAAGAGCTGGCCATTGTGGAGGCTGGTGCTTTTGAATGTCAACATTCAGTGCACATGCGTGGGAGGATGCAGACAACAGTTAAAGGAGCAGATGAAAGTCAGGCTCAGCACTGTGAGCCAGAGCAGCTGGGTGCTTGTTAATGTGGGGTCCATGCTGCTCCCTGGCACCTGTAAGGCCCTGTGAGAGACAGCTGCACGGTCTGACAGGCCATTTGCTCCACCTGGAAAAGGCCAAGATTCAGAGTGCTATTAATGGCTTGTTTTTTACCCAACTCTATGAGACAGTGTCCAGAAAAGGATGTTGTCCCTTGGTTGTTTTGAAGCCATTTCTGTGTTTACAGAATGGGTAACCTTTGGCAAAACACTTTGCCTCTTTTGTCCTTTGAGTTCCTTCTCTCTGTATTGGGAATGCTTCTGAAGCCTGCCCATCAGACTTACAGGACAGTTGAGGTCAGGTCTAGTGGTACCTTCTCTGTCTGCAGCCTCAGGTATATGGTCCTCTGAGGGTGGACTGTATCGCTGTGACCTCCTCGGTAGGTAGCAGTTGAGGTTTGGAGGTCAGTAAGCTCTACTCAGGGCTGCATGCAGGTGCATGGTAGAATTGCCTCAGCCAGACTGTGCTGTATTCCACTGCCACCAGTAGAGCTCCACGTATAGGTGCATTTTCTTTCCTAATCCTATCATTCTGTAAGACAGAAGTTGTTCTCATCATTCAGATGATATTGAAACCTACTGAAGTTAAGTCACTTACTCAGAGCCATTAAGCTGGTGAGTGGTATATCTGAGCTAAACACAAGTCTGTGAAAGTTCTTTGAAAGATTTAAAAAGGACAAATGATAAAGTCAGGGCTTCCTGAACCAGTGTGAGCTTAAGGAAGTAATAGTGATGGTGTAGTCAGCTTTCTGTCACTATAATAAACACTTTAGATAATCAGTTTACAAAGACAAGTTTATTTTAGCGGACAGTTTTAGAGACCTACTGCTTTTGGGCATTTGGTGCAGGGCTGTACAGAACATTATGATGGCAGTGCAGTGGCACAGCAGAATCATTCATCTCATGATAATGAAATGGAAGAGAGGAAGTAGGAGGAACTGAGGTCCTCTGTACTGTCCACAGGTAAACCCTCAGTTACCTAAAGACTTTCCACTAGGTTCTTCTGATTAAAGTTTCCAGCACCATGCACTGGGAGACAAGCCTCTAACACATGGGTCTTTGGAGACTTTCCAATTCAAACTACTCGCATTTTGACCCTGGTCCCATGTCACAGTGCAAAAATATATTCTGTCCATCTCCACCATTCCCCTAAGCCCCAGCTTTTGAAGCATTGCTCACAAATCCTCTCTAGAGTCTCCTCTGAGACTCAAGGCACACTATTAGCTGTACAAAAGCAAAAAGCAAATTACCTCCAGTGTGCACTGATACAGAGTAAACACTGCCATTCAAAAAGGGAGGAGTAGGAAAATTGTAAGGAAAGATTGGACCAAAGAAAGACTGAAACCCAGCAGGACAAACAAATTGTAAATCTCCAGTCCAACATGTGGAGGAGCTTGCTGTGGAGGGTTAGGGACTCCAGAGAACTTGGGGAGCCTTGTTTCGGCCTCTCTCTTGGGCTGATGTTGTATATTACCTGTATCTTCTCTCACCAGACATTGCATATTCCTTTCATCTCTCATTTTCTGGGACTGCCATTGCAGCTTTGGCTTCGCTTTCATGGCTTCACGTGTCGCCCTATCAGGGACTGCTTGCAGAGCCTCTACCCTGCCATATTGTTGCCTAACTGCCCAGAGTGTCCTTTGAAGTCTGTGGAACGCTCTATCCCCATACTTGTCACATTCTGCATGCCTACAAAACCAGCATCGCCTGGATGGTTCTAAGTTTTGCTACCAGCATGATCTATATCTGGGACTGCCTGACTGTGACTGTACCAGCCTCTGAGTGCCTTGATAGCTGAACACGCAAATGATTCTCAAGGTGGTCATGGGTAAGCAAGATGCCCTCCAGCGTTCTTTCTCAGAAAACTGCCCTGGAAAATCTTCGCAAGAAATTTGTATTTCTGTACCTTTGAGCTTATGATGGTCACTGTTTTGCTGATTTCTGAGATGCTTTCCAGGCAAGTTTTCTACTGTTCTAATGGAAAAGTGCTTGACTGTTCTCACCTCACCTCACCTCAGTACTCAGTTTGAACCCAAGACATTCACACTTAGCTCAGTCACTATGTTGTGCATGCTGAACTCGAACTTGGATTCCTCAACCTTCCAAAGTGTTGAGTTTACAGAAGTGTGCCACCATGACCAGCTATTTGGCTGCTTTTTAAGATTCTAACCTCTTCAGCAACTGTACTCTCCTTGGCTGTATGTTTCTGTACTCCTTTTCTGGCCAAACTTTGAATTTTCAAATCTTTTTGCTCTTTTCTGTGTTCTCTTGATTCTCCCTGTAAGTTTGACTAAAAGCAGCCAATAATACCCATGCCAGTGCCTGAATGCTGTGATTTGAAATTTCCTTTACTAGTCTTAACTAGTCCTTCATCTGTAAGGTCGTTTCCCCAAAGTCCAAGGCATGGGATGACAAAATGTACTTAGATTCTTTGCCACAATGGAATAGGGTGACCTTTAATTCAGTTTCCAATATAATCCTCATTTTCAGCTGAATTTCCATAGCCTTTACCATTCACATTCCTAATGAGGATTATAATCCTCTGCACCCTCATTTGAATTTCCCATTTAAGTTTTGCTTATAGCATTTTTGCTGTCTCTAGTCAGTTTCTCCAAACGTTTCCAGATTCCTTCTGCAAACCAATTCCAAAGGCTTCTCCATCCACATTATCTTAGATGAAGGAACAACCATCCAAGTTTTGGATAACAAGTTTCCGTGTCAGCTTTGTATCACTGTAATGAATTCCTTGAGCAGTCAGAGAAGAGGTTGATTTGGCTCACAGTTTTGTGAATTTTAGTCCATGATTATAGTGGACACCCTGCTTTTAGGCCTCTGGTGGTGACAACATGGCCAGCACATCATGGCAGGAGTGTATAACCTCGCAAAACTGATCATCTCATGGTGGGGAAGCATAAGAGAAAAAAAGGAAGAGGCTGTGGTCCCCAAATTTCCCTTAAGAGCATGTTCATCTGTGACCTAAAGAGTCCCCATGAACTACTTAGCAATAGACCAGGGACTAACCCATTAACACATGGGCCTTTTGGGGAACATTCCAGATCCAAACTATAGCAACTGGGTTTTTTAAAATTTTTAATTTACCTTTCTAATTTTTTGATGGAAGTTGTTCATTTGTCAGTGAGGCTGCTGTAAACTTTAGTATTTTCTTTTGTCCAGTATTGTGTCATCTTAGCACAGTAATATTAGTCACTTCATACTGTAAGAAATTCTGCCAGATTGTGGATTATACAAAATAAAATGTTTTGGGGTTTTTTGTGGGACCAGGGGAGTGATAAGTGATTGGGATCCTTATAATAAAATAGTAAGGTATCAAAAAGGTCCTGTCTATCTTTGAGAATCTACATTCCGTTACCTACCACAGTCACTCAAATGTGTCATCATTCTTTTTACAATCATGAAGGCCACTCATTCTATGGGACAAAACTGGGCACATGAAAGTTGCCTTGTTCAAGGAACATCCATGTATGTAACACTGTTTTTTTGCTTCCAAAGCTCCCTAACTCCATGCTAGTCTGCCAGGAGGTTATAATGTACATTTGTCTCTGTTATGTTCTTGCTCAGTATCCAGCCCTGCTTGATACTCTGCCTGCTTAAGTCTTGAAAGGTAGGTTGGATGCGCACAGGAATGAGTAAGACTAAATAAACAAACAAACAAACTAGGCTGTGGAGAGATCATCCTGGAGATGATGCTGCGGCTGCATCTGTTTGCCCAGGCAGCAGCGATGAAAGCACCCCCTGCTTCAGTGCTCACGTCCAGTGATGATGATGTAATCTGTTGCGTACATGTCCCTGGGCCTCATGGCATCCCCTATCCTGCCCATTTTCTGAGTTTGTTGTGTGTCTTTTCTGAGGGAATCTGTGAAATGCCAAAGACTGAGTAAATTTTGATAAGATAGGTTGCTCCATAGTTTTTTAAGGGTTTTTATTCATTTAATAGACCTGTGGGCACTACCATGAGCCACAGAATTCACCACAAGGGAATCATAGTTTGGGCAGGTGGTAAAACCTTAGACCTACCCAGGCTCTACTCTCCCTGTAACTGATCATACACCCCTCTAGTGTGAGCCCAGAGAGGACAGTCCTATCCCTCCAGCCTTGTCCTCCAGTGATCCATCTTCTGGAGCTATATCCAGCACTAATAAGTGCTCGGGAAGTTTTGAACTCTCATTCAAGGAGTGAAGTAATCAGTGAATTGACTAAGGTGTTGTCTGAGGACTCAGAGCTCAGTGTCACCTCTGTTGCAGATATTTTTCCTTCTATACTTGCCTTTAACTTAGCATTTGTTTTCCTTTCATACTGTTCATTCTTGATTATAAATGTTCTCCCCGCAGGACGTTCTCTGCCTTGACTATAGAGGAGTGTGGCCCTTCCTTCGAACCCCCTCTGGATATATCCTCTGAGCATCCACCAGGAAAGATGCGGCAGCTCAAAGGAAAGCCCAAGAAGGAGACGTCAAAGGATAAGAAGGAGCGGAAGCAGGCCATGCAGGAGGCTCGGCAGCAGATCACCACGGTGGTGCTGCCCACGCTGGCTGTGGTGGTGCTCCTGATTGTCGTGTTTGTGTATGTGGCTACACGCCCCACCATCACCGAGTGAGCACTGCACATGGACTCCTCGGGCAGGGAAAGGGAAGCAAAGGAAAAATGGCTTTCATCTGCAGAGATGTTCTTGATGCTGAGCTCTGAGCGGAGCACTCATGTCTTCTCTGGTCTTTGACTTGATTAAAGTTCTCTACTTTTCTTGGGAGGGAATAGGGAAAGTTTTATCAGTGAATGTGCCATACACCTTATGGTCCACTTCATGTGCCTTTCAGACTTCAAAGCAGAAAGTGAGTGTGTGTGTGTGTGTGTGTGTGTGTGTGTGTGTGTGTGTGTATGTGCGTGTGTGTGTATGTGTGTGTACGCGCGTGTGAGTGCGTGCACACTTTGGTGCAGTGTGTGTCTCGTCTCCTGAAATCGATATATATAGTTCTACCTGGTCAGAGAGGCCTCTCGGGTCATGAAGCAGCTGGAAATAGTATTCACCTCATCCCCATCGTCTGGAACATGCTTTCCTATACTTGTTCACAATTTCCAAAGGGACTATGTTTCTTTTCTGCTTAATGTGATTTGAAACATGTTGATTCAAAGTGAAATATTTATTTTTGAATAAAGGAAATACTAGCCTTAAACTGGGTATTTATCATACTTTGCTGAAAGGTGCCGGCTGGCTGTGGGGTCCCTTCCCAGGCATTGCCCCGTTTTCTCTACTTTCCTGTCCCTAGAGGCTTTCTCTGCTTCTCTTTCTTCCCTGCTGTTCAGTACTTCCAGGAAAATGATGCTTTGTGACTGGATCGTTTTAAAATTGAGGAAGGAATCTTGAGAGGGGTAGAAAGTGAGTGCTAATTGACTTGTTTGAGAAAAGTGAGAGTTCTAATTGGAATATGACCAAAGTGCTTTTACCCCAGTTTGCCTTTCCTGCTCAAATACCACATTTGCAAACAGCAATACAAAGTGGACCTGGAATAAAGGTCAGACTTGGTTTTATTCTTAACTGAAGGGATGCAAATTGTTGCCATTCCAACGGAGCTTTCAGTGCAAATTGGCCGTGCTGGACAGGTTGCTTCATTTTACTATAGCAGCTCACGGGTCCTGGTTCCTAGCAGCCTTTTTGGAAGTTAGATTGTGAGGGTGTCTCTGTATCTGTCATTGCTGATTACAGAGAGATTTTTGAGGAGAGAAGTATTTTTGGTGGATGCATGATTTGCTCACTGATGACAAAAGCTGTTGCTAGGGACTTGGGACCTCATGGATTGAGTCTTGCAGGAAGAGGAAAGGCACCCGTCTATGTTCAGGATCCTGAGACTTGCATGGTTCACAGAGCTCTGGGGAGACTTGGTGCCTTCTTATGCTCAGTCAATTGCCAGTGGCTCTGTAAAGAGATTTACTAAAATGTTTTATCAAATTCCGGGGCTGCTAGCCTAAAATTCCTCTTAGGTTTCTCTTTTTCCCCCACTTCATTTTGTTCTGAGTCTAGGTGATTTTTGTTCTGGGAAAAACTGAAAGCCACTGCCTCAAGGACCTGCTCATTCAGAGGTGAAAGGAAACATCTCTGCTGTTTTTTTTGTACCAGCCATAGAACTATAAGACCTGGTGCTTACAGGCAGGCATGTGAGCCATTGAACTAAATCCTTGCCCGCCAGCTCTGCTCTTAACAGAGGCCTCCAGGCAACTGCCTGACCCCTCTCTCCTCCCGGAGTGCATGCTGTGAGAACAGAGAGAAGACTGCCTGCCTGTCCATGGAAGAAAGAGCATAGTCAGCCTGCTTTTTAATTTCTGACTTGCATTTAGTCTGCCTGTCTGAACTGATTACCTAACTCCACCAAGCCTCAGTTTCCCTGTGTCTAAGTAACTAAAGACACTTCTACAGAAGTGACCCATCTAATAAAAAATGAGGTTTTAGAGTTAACCTGGCTTTTTATGCAGATTTCCCTTCTGGAATGTCTGAGTCCACTTCCTTATGTGATCTTGCCTCAGGAATGCTGGGAGGTTTAAACTGAAATAGTGTTTGGGATGTAGTTATGCCATAAATAGTAAGAGTATCTTGCCAGTTGTACTGATTCTTTTATTTCTTTCACCACTCTGAAGTGGGTATGATGAGTACGCAGTTTGATGAACAAGGAAACTGATGCAGGCCAGGAAATTTATCCATGTAATTCAGTTAGTAAGCAAAGGAGCTCAGGTTTGTTTCTTCTTAAGCTTTCCATATGGGAAATTTCAAACATACATAAAAACACACAATATACTTCTGCGCTTAATGACTAGCTTCAGCAAACACCAGGACATGGCCATCTCTGTTCATCCGTCCAACTGTTCCTACACCCAGACATCCTTATGTACACAAAAACAGTGGCAAAACAGAAGATGGGCTTAAAGCCAGAAAGCAACAGAGAATGTGCTCTTCAGCTTTGAAGTCTTGTTTTCAGTGGGTGATTAGGAGAAGAAACCTTTACCACACAAGTGTATGGTCCCTCATCTGGTAAAGTCACTGTGAGCAGCCTTATACTCCATACTTCCCTACCTTGTATCCAGCGCAGGCAGAGTCTCTGATATGTTGTGCAGTGGGAGAAGAGCCTTGCTTCATAGCCATGTAGGAGAAGTAGCTGTTCATGGGTTCCTTAAGACATTCCTGGGTTCTTGGCTTCGGGCATTTTGAGCATGATGTGAGAAGAGCTTTGCTTTAGGAAGCGAAGGCACTTAGGACTCCTAACTGCTACCTTCTAGCTAAACAACCTCCATCAGGCCTCACCCTGAGCTATAGGTGCCCCACATCTAATAAATGAAGTAAATAATTTTACTATGTAGAGCATATTGGGAGGATACATTGACATATGAAAAAGGCATAACATTTCTTGTACAGTGTAGATGCTCAATAAATGGTCATACCTGACCTCTTTTCAGTGTACTCAAAACCTTGTAGAACACAAATGAAGGCTTAGTCCCCAAGGCTTTACTTGGCAGAGAAACATAACACTACACACTGTATAATAGAGATCTGTTAGGTACTTTAGAGTTTCATTTTCATCACTGTTTTCCCCTTTCTTATCCTTTGAGAAGCCTGGTGGATTCAGACTGGATTTTCAGAAGGCAGTTACTAGGCAGGCTTGGTAAAGGTGGACTGAAAATTAATGTTTTGTGTGTGTGTGGTACCGGAGATTGAACTCACAACCTTGTGCTTGCCTGGCAAGTGCCTGCCACTGAACTAAATCTCCAGCCCTGAAAATGGACTTTTAAAGTTAACACAACTTTGATGTGAGCCACCTCCTGGCAAGAATGAGACACCCATTTACTGTGGACTTGCTGAGTGGGATTTTAACCATTCTCTAGGTAAATAGTATCTCATGTGGGTGCACTTAGTAAAGATTTGAGAGATGAACTTCCAAATTATTCTCTTCTGTGGTTTCAAACCAAAATGGAACGATTTACTAGAAATTTCACAAAGTCATATTGGGGTTTCTGAAGTAGTAACCAGGAGTCTTGGCTTTCAGTCTTCATTCCAGAGCCTAACATTTCTGGAAGAGGATATTTCAAAAGAAAAGTCCAATTGGAAACAGAAATAGAAACCATTTGTGTTGTTTAAAAGTGTCATTGGGTATATTTTAAAAATTATAATCCCAAGATAGGTGTGTATGTAGTTGCTCATTCAATAGCCACCCAAAATTTTGGTGGTCCATTATTGTAGTCTTCGGTAGTATGAGAGTGAAAAATTCAGGCCTAGTCCACTTCTTAGAGTGTGACACTTGCCAAGCCTTCCCTATAGATGTGTTGGATCAGAGATCATGAAAAGTGCTGCATCCCAGAGTGTCTGTGAATGTAGAGTTAACGGCCTCCCTATGTGAACCAGAAGTCTGTGCAGAACTTGAAGAACTCACATCTTGTGGGGACAGGAGGACTGAGGAACCTTGCATATATTTCTCTGTAATCTGCCCAGTGCTCCACAAAGGTAGTGCTTGCTATGTCTCATTTTCTGAAGTCGAGAAGGCAAAGGTCAATCTAATGGCTTCTGTAATTTTTTCCCCCAAACAGGACAGCATGTACCTACCCTTCCCTCATATATGCTTATGAAGTAACAAGAAGAAAACTTGCAGCTAGACTTATCAGTAAATTGGTTTGCTAGCACTTGCCTTGAGTTGTTGGAAAGATTAAACAGATGATTGTCCTTTCCTGTCCCATTAAAAGACCTCACTTCATTATTTGTAATAATTATTTATTTGAAAACTTCTGAAATTATGACTCTGAGATTTCTCTGGAGAAGCATAGCATAATATGTGTGTATATTCCCCTATTGCCGTGCCTTGAAAATGTCCCCCTCCATGAGCATATCTTCTGACTTGGCATGCCTTACTGTGGATGCTGTTTGCTTGTGTAGGAATTACATTGAATTCTGTACGGTGTATTTTCTATAAGATTCGTCATAGACTGTTGCTTAAACATTAGAAGTAAGATACAGAATCCTCAAATCAAGGAAGTACATGAGTAGCTCCTGAATCCCTCCAGAACATCTGCACTAGAGTTGGAGAAGGTTCACATGGCCTTGGGATCCTTGTCCCTGTTCTTGTGTACTTTATATGTCAGGCAGATCAGCTGCACAGGAGGCTTGCCTTACCCACTCTGTAGGGACCTAGTTTTTGCTTATGGGTCTTGGTGTAGATCAATAAGGAGTTCTAGAGTTTTCTCATTACTTTTCATAGTAAATGTCAGTGCATTTCAGTCAGGTCATTTGTATTATCCATCTACCTGCCAGTTCTTTGGTAAGGAGCCAACCTTTTCAAAAAGCTTTTAAGCTGGTGAGCTATTCAGTAGTAATTTGAGGATTGTGGAGCCAAGAGAATGTTTGAATGTAGTAATGCTATGGTTAAGCCTCTTTCATTCCCTTGGCATTTATTACCCCTTAACTTCATAAAGGTTGTTTGTCTTTGAGCCCTCTTGGTAGGACTTTTTCTGGTAATTTTTGAATATTCCTTTTCTAGCTGAAACAAAGTATAACTTGCCACATATTGATCACTTCAGCTGTTTTGGAAACATAGTAAATGTTTTAGGATTAGATCTAACTCGAGGCATCAGCTAGTTCAGAATGGAATATATTAAGTAAGCCCATTATGAAACCCTTCTGAAACTCCTTCACCTTGAAATATTTCTGCCTTCAGCTGTATTACTGGCTTGATTGAAGACCTGTTCATCCATTTCACACAATGCAAGGCGTTGAAATTTCCACTCCCAGATTAGACTTTAAAAGATAGCAATACCTTTAGACATAGTTAAAGCAAAAGTATGGAAAAGATTGAAAATAAGAAGATAGAAAAAGACATAGCAGGCAAATAGAAACAAAAACCATGCAGCAGTTTTAGCATCCACAAAGAAGCATAAGGTGAGCATGTCATGAAGGACAAAGGATGGCACATACTAGTAATGTACACTGGTACTTTGGTTCATGGACTTGACTGACTCTATGGTTCTGGTTGCAAACTGAGTTGGACGAGAACTGAATCTAATTCAGCAGTTAGGTTGAATGTTGACCGTATGATGAAATTTGATTCAGTTCTCATCCAGTTTGGTTTGCAACCAGAATTGTTGAATTTGTGAACTAAGGTACCACTGTTAGTTAAAAATATGATATATCGATGTAGTTTCA